GGTGGCAGTGGCCACCATATAATAATATTTGACCACCCCAATAATTTGAGGAAACAATTTTTAAGCAATATAAAAATTAGAAAGCATAGTTTCCTCAAACGTTAGAGGTGGTCGATTTACCCTCCCCCCCTCCCAACACACACATACACACACACACACACACACATATATATATATATATATATATATATATATATATATATATATATATATATATACTGTATATATAAATACTGTATATGTATTTAGCAAACTCAATTTTTTTATAGTGACTTATCTTCGCTTAGATGTAGCCACACATATAAATGGAAGTTAGCACGTTGCTTATTTTTGAAGTTATCAAGTGCACAAGCCTAACATATAAAGATATATTGTAGCAGCCATCTTGGATATTGACCTGGCAACCCAAGTTTCTAAATGAAACTTTCTTATGCCCTGATGTAGCCACACACATGAATGAATGTTAGTACCTCTCTTTAATTTAATGTTATCATGCTCACAATGCTGCTGCCTCTCAGTGAGAAGGTTGCCGGTTCAAATCCCGGTCAGGGAGTCTTTCTGGGTGGAGTTGGCATGTTTTCTCCGTGCATGCATGGGTTTCCTCCGGGTACTCCGCTTTCCTCCCACAGACCAAAAACATGCATGTTAGGCTGATCGGTAACTCTAAATTGTCCCTAGATGTGAGAGAGAGAGTGAATGGTTGTTTGTCTCGTTTGTCTCGATGTGTCCCTGTGATGGACTGGAGACCTGTCCAGGGTGTACCCCGCCCCTCTCACATTGATAGCTGGACATGGGCACTGGCGACCCCCGTGACCTAAAATGGAAGAAGCGGGTAAAAGATAATGGATGGATGGATGCTCACAATATGTGGAGGGTATTTCGTATACCGCTTCTTCGATCTGTGATGGGGGATATAAAGAACTAATTTAATTTAAATTTTGGATTTTTTTTCTCTGAACAAACTAGGATGTGGTTTGCCTTACAGTGGACCTAACATCAGTCGGACAATGTTGACAAAGGTGTTTGAACAATACTTACAAAAAGCACAAAGTGTACAAAGAGAGGAGTTTGACCATCACCAGACATGAAATTGTATACCATCGACACATTCTACTGTAATTAGGCCTTAGGTGACGAGACTGACAAGATGGAAAAGAGTCCATCATTACTCACAATTTGCTCATCATCCATCTGCTGTCTCAACATAAAGCTTCCAGCTACACAATCACATGCATATAAGCAAAAAGACAAATATGCACATGCTTACTTGAGCAAAATTGCAAACAATGAAGCCATCAGGATATTGGAGGAAATTACTTATTATGTTCTGAAAATTGTATCACTGAAATAAATGCTGGCACATTTTAACAGCTTTGTCTACTTTATCCCTCCCACTGAAGCAAAGTGTTGAACGGATAGGAAAAACACAGCTGTTGTTACTTTTCTTAGTTTTACAATACAAAATATATTACTTCTGTCAATTTCAGTCAATTAATGGAGTCATTTTCCACTTGTAATCTAGGACCTGCACATTGGCCAAAAGAAAGAAAGCAAGCAAGAAAGAAAGAAAGACAAAAAGAGAAGGAAAGAAAGAAATGTTAATTTTACGTGAAAGGAGAGACTTTTTCAGGGAGTCGACTGTCCTTTTAAAGGAGCTCCTGGTTTACTTCATTCAAGGAACAGTCATGGTAATAAATGTATGGGGTGGAACTAAATCAAAGGTTTTTTGTAGGTCAGGAAAAGTGTAATCAGAATTTGAAAAGAGAGAAAGGGAACCTAAAACTCAGCAAGCCTTTAGAAGGACAGCTAAAGCCAAAAGTTTGCTTGATCAATATCCAGTTGTCTTGTTGTTGACAGGCTTCTGATCTACTGTCAGAATGTCTGCTTGGGTGAAGCTTGGTGTCAGATAACCTACTTTTAGTGGAAATCTGAATTCTTACAGCTGTCAAAAGAAGGTTATTAAAGGTTAAGCTGTTAAAGAGGCTGAGGGTGGTTCAGACCCCTGATGTGCTGAACACACTGTGAGGATGCCCTTCTTGGTCTTCATTAAAGAAATATGCAGAGGTGCAGCAGGAGTTATGAAACTTTTAAAAAAAACTCATACAGACAGGTCACCCACCTAAACGAACGTGAATCATTCTTTGGCCTCAGCAGCTGGTGCATGAATGTTTCAGGCCAAGCCTTCCTCTGGTCATATCACAGAGGTTTATAGTTGTAAAGGTCCACAATGATTTGATACACTTGCAACTCGAATGTTACTAGAAAAGCTCACGGTTGTGTTGCAGAAGTACAAGTTCCAGGAGGAAAACCCACACATCCTTTTTTCCAATGACCCTCACCAGCTCCTGTTGAAGGATCCCAAGGTGTTCCCAGATCAGATAACCCCACCAGGGAGTTCTGGGTCTGTCGCAGGCAGTGGTTAATCTGAGCTGGATCCTGCCGGAACAAGATCTGGGAGCTCTCTCATTTTGACCATGTGCATTCCAGCAACTGTTTGCTCAGATCTGCCAACTCAAATCTCCGCCCATAAAAGTCCAAAGTCATCGCACATTTTTATTTTGATTATTTGTTAAAAGTACAACGTGAGGAGTCGTTGCTCAGTCTGTGGAGTGGATGATACTGCTGCAGCAGGCGCACCAGCTCGCGCACACGCTCCTGCCCAGCAGAGACACGGACCGCATGTCCCGCGGGGATGAGCGTCTTCATCCACCTTCAGCTGTGCGCCCTGCAGACAGTGCACGTTACGCACAGGAGCGTCTTCAGACAGCTCTGCGCACAACTGCTGATGTGTCGGAAATCCTGCATACATTTCAGACATAAATTAAAAAGCTTACAGTAAAAAAAAAAAAAAAAACGAGTAAAACGTTTGAGTGTTATTCACATCATGTTTCAAAACAATGGCACTAATTTGTCAAAATAACAGCAATCAAAATGTCCAAAAGACAGTCCAGTTTATTATCTAAAATAAATGGATAGATGGATTGTCCTTAGCTGGACATCTGAGGATTGAAGCACCTGAAGGCAGAACAGCTGACAGTGGTGATTGGAGCAGGAGGAGTAATCACTGAATTCAGCTGAGAAGAGTTCAGGTCAGACAGTGAAGTGTGTGTTTGTGTGTGTCTGTGTGTGTGTGTGTGTGTGTGTGTGTGTGTTCAATTCAACCTTTATTTATACACGTTGTCAGTCTCATTGAGCCTCATCATTTACAAGAGAGACCTGTTTTAATCAATTTAATCAAATGTTTACAGATGTTTAACAACCTGCTAAAATACACCAAAATGCAGGAAATGGCATCTCTTTTATTCCAAATTTTCTGGGGGAGGACCCACTGAACCACCAACCCCCCCACTCCCCTCCCAGACTGCCTGCTCTTTTTGTTCCGGCATCAGTTGATTTACAAATGAAGCCCTGGTCTCAGGGTCTCCTCCCAGTGGTACATGTCCAAAGAAACTCCAGAAGGAAGCATTCTAATCACATAGCAAACCACCTCAGCTGATGCCTTCGTTTGTTGCGAAGGAGCAGCGACTCAACTCTGAACTCCCCTCAGATGAAGGAGCTTCTCGTCCTGAGCCCATCTACAGAGGAAGCTCATTTCAGCTGATTGTATCTGGATTCTCTCTTTTTCAGTCAAGATCCACACTTGATGATAAAAAGCAAAGGTTAAGCAAGAATTACAGATGCTTGGAATCCTATGGCTAAGATATTTGTCCGTTTGGCATCATCTATGCTGATGGTATTCACCTGTGAGTTTAACTCTGGTGTACATAAACGGTCACATTTAATAAATTGCTTGACAAACCTTGATAAATTATTAGAAGATATTTATTTTTATTAAACAGAGAACCCATTTTTGTTAGAGAATGTTTAAAAACTGGCATGACACGTACCAGCATCAGTTTACACAGGTCTGATGATTCAAGGACGAACTGTTATATGAACAAAACAAACTGTTTGAAGCTGCGAAAATTATAATAAAAAAGGGAAAAAAAGTATAAAAAAAACTCTGTTCAAAGACCATGAGATACGAGTAAATCTTACTGAAAACTAGGCCTCGTTTTCAGCTACCAATTCTGTAGGTGGTCTGGAGCGTCTCCACTGCATCCAAACATTACTCAAAATGAAAAGATCTCCAATAATTTTATGGATTTTATTGAAACTTTCAGAAAGTAATTGTTAGATAAATGTCTACAACTCATGAGCTATTGGAGACAACTAAATTCAATATGGCCACCACAGCTAATCAACATTAGCCAACAGTAAAATATCTTCATCTCTGTCAGTGTACCAGACACTGAGCTAAAATTAATACGCAGGTAGCCGAGAGTCATGCAGGGCCTGTGAAAAGTGACCAAATATTTTACCTCAATTTTAACAAGGTTTTAAGTAGAAACCAACGACTTGAACCTGTTAATCAAATAAAAATGATCAGGACTTTTCCACTCATGCTCCAGTAGTTTAGTGGGGTTAAAAACCAGGTATGCAGATGAGCTGGTCGTTCCTTCACCACAGAGTCAGGGTCATAATTCACTGTTCGAGGGAAGCATATCATTATGTTCAAACAGTAGCTCTGTAAGGCTCAGCTGTCCTCCGATGTGTTCGTGTGCTTTACATCAAAGCTATAGAAGGCTATTAATAGGGCTGCTAATGGACTGTAATGGTGAAAAGCCACATCAGCACTCAGTTTTTTGACGATGTGGTGAATTTATAATGGAGGGAAGTGATAACAAAACCTAAGTACCTTCTAACGCTCTCTCTCTTTTTAATTGTGGTTGCAATATAATGTTTTATTTGAACGTGGGGAATAACAAGCTTGTGATTCATGAGATGACTCAGTATGGTGCTAAAGTGGCTCACTTTAAAATCTGATGTGGCAGAATTTTACATTATCAGCTCCTTCTGTCTTTAATTCAACGTGAGCAGGTTTCTCCTCACCAGAAACAGTCAGGACCTGTTCTCAGTTTATCACAATTTCAAATATTTTTTTCACTCTTCCTCAACAGGTAATGCCATCCAGGCTTTTGGGAACGGAACAGACATTGGGATAGGACCACAGATATCTCCTGTTCAGACCACCACCTCCATCACCACACCCAACCAAAGAAAACTCATCGACAGCACCAGCAATAACTATATTAACACAGACCCCGGCTTCTACCAATTCTGTGGCAATTTACAGGTGAGACGCACTCACAAGTTCAGTGTTATTCAGGCAAGATTCATAAAAACAGACAAAAAAAATCATTAGGTGTATAAAAAAGGGTTTTAAAAACACTTCACAGTCTGTTTTTCTCGCCCCCACTATCATTTTCTGCCATTTAGACCCCAAACAACAATATAGGTTGTTGTTTTTTACTCTTTTTTTTTCTGTAGCTGTCTCTTTTCGTCCTAACATTGTCATCAATTTATTATTAAACTTTCATCAACTACTAAAGTGGTTAATACCTGAATGGAAACGTTAAATCCCATCAACGAACAAGCAGTAAGCCAACGTCCCCGTCACTGAGCAATTCGAATAGTGAGCGTTTGTAGTTTTTGAGATGCAAGTAAACCTTAATGTTTTTGGTGCAAAATATTCAAGTGGGTAGGAGTTATCTAAAAAAGTTAAACCTTGTCCTTTGGACGGGTTCAAAAAACAAAAAAATGTAGAAACATTTTGTCTTTTATTCAAAAGACTTCTGAAAGACGAAATGTTTCTACAATTTTTGTTTTGTTTTTTTAAACTCATCCAGTGGACCAGACTTAACTTTTTTAGATTTTTCTACCTGGATTATTGAGCATGCATCTGGGTAGGAGTTACACTTTTTATTTTTTACTTGTCTGAGGCGGTGCAGAGTGACAGATTCTGACGAGTAGAGGGAGACAGTATATCCACCGCCAGGTGCAGTGGTGGAGCCAGGGGGTGTCCAATGGTGGCCATCCCAATCATTTGAGGAAATTATACTTTTAGTTAATATAAAAACTAGATAGCATAGTTTCCTCAAATATTATGGTGGCCAGTTTACATACTGTTTAAACCTTATTTTCCAGATTAAACGTCTCTCCGAAGTACAGGTTGCATCAGTCAAAAATTGCCCCACGAAGATGGAAAAAACATATATAAGTTGCTTCGGAGTATAAATCGCATTTATTTAGATGTGTATTTCACAAAGTGCAAGGTCAGACATTTAATCTGAAATAACAATGACACACAGAACATACCTGGGATCCTGAACAGGCTTCATTAACATAACAAGACAACGAGTCCTACAAGCAAGTTGCCATCCTCTGTGTCGCTTTTGAACAATTCTGCCAACTCCAGAGGAAGATGGTGGTGGGGGATTAGCAGAAGAGGAACAACATGTAGTTGTCAAAATCCTAAAGGGGCCTCTCACAGCTGCACATGGTAATGTTTACTCTTTGGTTCATGTCAGTATGAAAGAACATTTAACATGTCCGTCAAAAATGGCATCATGTATAGAGAAAAAAACACATATATAAGTCACATGGACTGGCCAAACTATTAAAAAAAGTGTGACATAAAGTCCGGAAATTACAGTATACAGTAGTCCCTCGTAACTTTGCGGTTTGTTTCTTGCGAACTCCTTCTATCACAGTTTTTCAAAATAAGATTGCACATGACACCACGCAATTGGCTGATGGATTTTTAATTTAAAATAAATCATTTAGCACCTGCTGCACCTTTGTGCAGCCCACAGCTGAAGAAAAAGCTTCCTCCTTCACCTCTGTGCATCCCGTACTGCAGGCCAAGCTTCCTGCTGCAGCTGATCAGCTGTTCTTAGTGCAGAGCAAAGTGGGCGTGGCCAAGAGCGTTGGCAGGTGTATGAGAGCAGCGGAAGCAGAGACAGAGAAATCATGAAGTTCTGTGCTCTTTTAGAGCGTTTAGAGTTTAGAAACATTGTTTAGAATATTGCTAGAGTGTGGGAAGAGTTTAAAACACCTTTATGTATATACATGTATATATATATATATATATATATATATATAT